AAAGAACTGGCTGGATGGCCGCACACAAAGAGTTGTGGTCAATGGCTCAATGTCCGGCTGGAGACCAGTAACGAGTGGTGTCCCTCAGGGATCAGTGTTGGGACCGGTCTTGTTTAACATCTTCGTCGCTGACATGGACAGTGGGATTGAGTGCGCCCTCAGCAAGTTTGCCGATGACACCAAGCTGTGTGGTTCGGTTGATACACTGGAGGGAAGGAATGCCATCCAGAGGGACCTTGACACACTTGTGAGGTGGGCTGATGCCAACCTCATGAAGTTTAACCATGCCAAGTGCAAGGTCCTGGGTTGGAGCAATCCCAGGCAAAGCTACAGGTTGGGCAGAGAAGAGATTCAGAGCAGCCCTGCAGAGAAGGACTTGGGGGTGCTGGTCGATGAGAAAATGAACATGAGCCAGCTTCAGTGTGCGCTTGCAGCCCAGAAAGCCAACCGTATCCTGGGCTGCATCAAAAGGAGTGTGACCAGCAGGGTGAAGGAGGTGATTCTGCCCCTTTATTCTGCTCTCGTGAGACCTCACTTGGAGTATTGTGTATACTTCTGGTGTCCTCAACATAAAAAGGACATGGAGCTGTTGGAACAAGTCCAGAGAAGGGCCACGAAGATGATCATGGAACTGGAGCACCTCCCATATGAAGATCGGCTGAGAAAGTTGGGGCTGTTCAGCCTGGAGAAGAGAAGGCTGCGTGGAGACCTCATAGCAGCCTTCCAATATCTGAAGGGGGCATATAGGGATGCTGGAGATGGACTCTTCATTAGGGACTGTAGTGATAGGACAAGGGGTAATGGGTTAAAATTTAAACAGGGGAAGCTTAGATTGGATATAAGGAGGAAATTCTTTCCTGTTAGGGTGGTGAGGCACTGGAATAGGTTGCCCAGGGAGGTTGTGAATGCTCCACCCCTGGCAGTGTTCAAGGCCAGGTTGGACGAGGCCTTGGGTGATATGGTTTAGTGTGGGGTGTCCGGGCCCATGGCAGGGGGGTTGGAACTTGATGATCTTAAGGTTCTTTTCAACCCTAACTATTCTATGATTCTATGGGAAGAAAGATGACTGGACGGTGAGACTCAAGGGGAAAGGAGGAGAAAGAGCTGAACCATAACCCAGAGGGAAGCTTAACTCTGAATAAAGATGTCATTTTAACACAGGTGAGTCAGTTCCTTACAAAGCTGCATAACTGCTTGTGCCAGGAAAGTGAAGATGTAAACAGAAACAAGATGAGCGGGAGGAGAATTGACAGCCCCAGGGCTGGTTTGCCACTTCACAGCTCTTAAACTCATTTAAAAAATGTAGGTAAAACTAGAGCCTAAAGGTGTGTGTAACAGACGAAGCCATTATTCAATGTGCCTGACATGGATCTGAAAAGATGCACTGATAATCTGGGGTTGTGCTTTTCTTGATCTATTGTGCTAAGTAAACTGCAGGGTCCCTGTCCATATGTTGTCGCCCCCCCCCCCCCCCAAAACATTTGTATCAGTCTAACAAAAAATACAAGGAAATATTAAATCAGTATTAGCTCTGCTTTCTGCTATTTTCTTGCCTATTCCACCAGTCAGAGTAATTACTTGTTCTAGTGTAAACATAAAGGACAGGAGAAGTAAATATTCCACTTACAAGACAAATGTATTAACAGTTACTATTTCCCCTCTTTTCAACATGTACAAATGGAGCTAGACTATCAAATTCCCACAGCAGCCAACTGCTTAATTCAGCTGTTAAAATGTTACATCTCTAAATTATGAGCTAGAGGACTTTCCACTATTAAAAAAGTGAAAAGCAGAAATTGAGGTTTTCCTATATATAGATACCTCTTCACACAGGGACTAAAAGATTCTCTTTTCAATTATTTCTGACATTTCAATCAAAACCTCTAGGAAAGAGGATTATTCTCCAGCAGACACATTGAATGCAGCTACAAAGAGAGGTAAAAAGGGAAATAATTAAAGCCAGTGGAAAATAATGAGTGAAATTTTCTCCAACGAGGAGGGCACATGGACCAAATCACACAGCTATCACACAAGCAGACTGCGCTTAAGTCTCACATACAGAGATGCCATGGACACTTAAAAGTTAGAAAAATGCCTTTTAAGGAAAAAACCCTACAGATTCAGAAGTGGGCATTCACAGCCATTTACTACATAAGAATAGGAATCGTTGCTGAACAAGCAACAAACTAAGCCTAACACAAATATTTAAATTTATTTCATGCATCTTTTTCATATGTGCTTTATAAAAACAGCTTGAAATATAATGTCATTTAGTAGAAAAGAATAATCCTAAAAATGGCACTCAATCAGTACCTCTGTCATGAAGTTAATGGTAATAAAACCAAAAGTAGTCCTGGCCATTCACCAGAAGGACCAAGAATAATTAATATTATCTAAGAATCACAGACTAATTTGGGTTGAAAGAAACCTCTGGGAGTCATCTGGTCCCAAGACCGGTTTCAACACTGAAGTTAAAGCACGTTGCTTAGGAGTTTGCACAGTTAATTTTGAAAGGCTCCATGGATGGAGACTCCAAAGTCTCCATGACCAAATCTGCTCCAGTGCTTAACCACCCTCACAGTAAAGTTCTTCTCTCTCAGACACCTGACCACATCTGCTCTATAATCCTCCTTCAGCCAGTGGAAATCTTGGTAAAGATCTTTCTCTCCTTGTCTTCCCCAGTCAAAGGTCATGCACATCCGCACCTCAAATGTCACACCCTTCAGCCCCTCAGCAGCAGCCCTTCCTCTGAACTCTCTCTAGTTTGTGAGCATCCCTCTTGTTTAGGGCCCGGAACTGGAGAAATATTCTGGATGCAGCTTCAGAGGCACCAAGTGGAAGGGAGCAGTCGTTTCCCTTGTCCTGCTGGTGGTATTCCTGCTGAGGCAGCCTGCTGTGTTCAGTGCTGGTTCACACTATTCCTGCTGAGGCAGCCTGTTAGTGTTCACTGCTGGTTCACACGAAAGCTCCTACCTTTAGGAACTACTATTAGTAGCTGCCTTAGGAGTCAATCCCAGGATGACTGCTGCATGGGGTTACTTCTCCCCAGCTCTGAGATTTGACATCTGCTTTTAAGACTTCATGAGAACTCCACTGGCTTTGTATCTGTGAATATGGACACCACACAGACCTTCTTTTCATGTTTTTACTTCTTTAATGAAGTATTCCAGCTGCAAAATACTTTGGAATGATTGAACTCTGCACAAATGTCCAAATCTAAACAAACATGAAGCATCCAAAAATATTTCTCCGAAAAGGACAAACTAGAAGCAATTTTAGTAACTGAATTCTCCAAGTCCCTTAAAAAACAAAATGGGGGGAACAAAGTTTACTGGCTACTGAACACATGAGCAAGTTTAATGCCCAATATAAGCCTGTATATAATTATTGAAAATGACTAAAGCTGCCTCCAGTGGACGTTTTTAATTTCATTTGTTTGGAGAGCTCAGTTTCAACATTATTGCCCATCTCTTTTGGTGCCTTGATTATCAGACTTGAGAATTAACCTGTCAAAAGGAAGTGTGCAAACAACAAATAGGTATTACTTTATTTGGACATTGTGATAGGTGCCTGTATTTCCACCCTGTAGTCTAGTATGTGAGTAAAAGACAAATAACATCATGCAACACAGCTCCTGAAAACTTCAGAGGTCAGAACTGAAGTGTCAGAGCTACAAGAACCTTTTCTGAGTAGGTTTTCCAGCCACTTGACATATGGCCTAGATCAGAAACTGCTACAAATTTACATGTACTGACTTAAAACTGCAGCATTAGCTTCAAGTGCTTACAAAAAGGGAACTAACACACACATCAACCTCTTTAAATCCATCTTTAATTGAAACTTTACAATAATGCATTTCCTACCTTAGAAAAAAAAAAAGAAATTAATACTCGATCCAAATATGTTATTCTGCCAGTTAAAAAACTGCTTTGGAAAAAATACCAAGTAGGAAAAGTTTATCTTGTCTGTGAAACCCACTCAGACATTTTTCTACCCAAATTATGACACCATGTCCAGATCCCTTTTTAAAGGAGAAGCTAAGAAGAGTCATTTCCTCTTGGCAATAAAGCTGTATGTCAAAATAATCTTGTAAACTAAAACTGGTTTCCAACCCTTTCAGTTCTAATGGCCAGATATTTTTCACTCATTGGCAATGGCTCGTGCAGAATTACAGTGACATAGCACGCAGCATGAGCAAAATTCGCATCAGACAAAATTATGCAGATTTTTCCCAGTTTCTAACCTCTACCAGGATGTTTCAACAATCTGATCCAAACAAGGCAACCTACCATAAGTAAGCGATGCACAAGGAAACTAAGATTTATATTGTGTCGGTATATCAATGTTTAGTACCAAAAGGTGCAATCCACAGTCCCTGAGGTAGGCAGTTCAACTTCTTACATCATAAATGAGATATACATATATCAGCCTAGAACTCAGAAAAGCTAAAAGTCAACTAGCAACAGTGAAGAAAAGACAGGTCTGAGAGTCATAAACTGAAGACTTATGCTAGTCTGAAGGACAACACAACTGCAACACAAGCCAAATATTAAAATACTGACAACAAAAACATCAAGGTCACATAGAAAATGCCAGGAATGGAAATTTTCAGCCAAAAAAAAAAAAACCAACCAATTTTCAAATACACTGAAAGATACAGCCAGGGCTTTAACTTTTGCTAGTAAATTGGGGGTAAAATGTTATCATATTTGTATGAGGCCACTCCCTGTTCAAAACCCTATACAGAATACACAGAAGCCAAGAGAAGAGTCTGAAACCCGTCTAAATTTCATAAGATGCAATTGCTTCTAAGACAGGAAATGCTTCAATAAGAGCCCAAAAGATTATCCATTACCAGCTGATCAACCAAAACTAGTATGGAGTCACCGATTTTTACTTCTGAATGCAACTCTAACAAAGTTAAATAGAATAACCACGCTACTGACTTTATAAAGAAGAAAACAATACAACCAACCCCACCAAAAACCTCTAATACTTACTCCAGATAACCTGTTCCTGTTTCAGTCTGACTGTGTACTGAAGATACTTTCATTAAACATTGTTTTCTTATTATTACCCTTGTTTTCTCAGAAGGTTCCACAAGATGACCCAAATGTGACCTAAAAAAAAGCAAAACACAACATGTCATTAACCGAATGAGAAAAATCAGCAATTTCTAGTTGATTTAGTAGTGCCATTAACTTTTGGGGCAGAAATATCCAATTAACCCCACATTTTCATTCTCTTCACATGGTACAACAGTAAAGTCAGTATTACTCAATATTACACAAGCGAACAAATCAATGTCAAGTCCTCAAATGCTCCGTTACCAGGAAAAAAAAGGAAAGGAAAAAATATGTTGGAGTTGCCATTTATTCTAACAATACAGGTATCACATTAATTACACAGTAAATACATGTTTCAACTGCTACAGGTATTTTTAAATTTGGGTCAGATCCACAGACAAAACAAAGGGAAATAGAACTGTCTTCACCCTCCTAACACATCTTCTCTTGTACACTTGGCTGTAAGCTAATCTATGTGGGTTTTTTAAGAGTTTAATGTCATCTGTAGTCCTATTGTGGAGAATTTGAGCTGATAACACAAGTGATCCCATCTTACTATTCATATTTCAACTTGTGAAACGGCAGGAGAAAGGTTCAATAGGTCTCCTCTTACCAACATCCTCCACACGTACAGGACAAAGCAGCTCCACAGAGCCAAGGCATCATCTCCATTTAGCTCTACCTTGCAAACCAGGCTCTCAACAAAGTGAGATATACAAAAAATATTTAAACCCCCCTCGAGACCAAAGCAGTGCTACCAGTTTGCACTGATACTATTGGTTTGTAGGCCGAGCCACAAAATACAAGCCATGTAACTACACTCCTCCTCCTATAAACAATTCTGTTTCTAAGCCACACTTAGGAGTACACATTGTACTTGTAGGAACACAACACGATCAGGAACCAGGGCTGTCATTCCCTCTGTCCCATGCAGAGCAGAACCTCTATAGGGATCAGTATGTAGAGCACTCTGAAGCAACTTAGGTTTCGTCAGTTGCTTTGAGGGAAAAACAGTTGTTGCCCATCTGCTGAAGTCTGGAAAAAACAAGTTACTGCTCCACACACAACCTTCTGAAAACAATCTGGTGGTGCATCAAGGTATGTACTAGTCCAGAAACTTCTCACGATTAAAGCCTAAGAGCCTACAGCAGGCAACAGCCAAAAAGGAAAACTTGAGGAAAAACTGAGTGCAGGTTTCTAAAACGTGTAGGATTTCTAAATCTTACACAACTTAGAAACTACATGGACAAAGGAACAGTGTGACTCTCTCACAACCAATGCAAAACTACCAGTCTGCCACTAACGTTCTACAGCCATGTCACTGTTTGCTTTTATGGAGTCAGAAAAATCAGAACCAAACCTACTGGCCAGAAGGCAGGAGCTTGGGAGGTGTGAAATGCCTTATACTGTAGATACAAAATGAACAGTCACTACTTGCAGAACTTCCACCTGGAGAAGCACTCAGGTGGGCTCCAAGGAGGGACACAGTGTATGTCTGAAGCCCTATGCCCTGGGGCAGAAGCAGGATTTTAACTAAAGATGAGATATCCCAACCTTCTAGAGCTATCTGGCTAACTAGTCACACGATGACAAACCAGGTGGTGGGAGCCTGACACACCATTCTAAATCCATAGGAAATCTTTCATGGGAAACCTACAAGCACCAACATAACAACAGTGCTTTGAAATCACAGATATGCCACTGCTGGTGTGTATGATGTAAACTTACCCTAACAACTATAACTTCCACAGAGGTTGGCAAACCACAGAGAACCCTCCCAACTGCTATGTAGGAATCACAGGTAAAACATGCCAATACTAGTTTTCTAATCAGTGTATCACCGATCTCTTTCACGGACACCCCCTTGTCGGGGGGAAAGAGCTTGCGTGCCCTTGTGAAGTTGGGAGTTATGCTGGTGGTGGCTTATGCTTCCGGTAGGGTCTCTCATGCCAGTCAGCTCTCAAATGAAGGGTCAGACAAAGTGTGTCCATGGGCCGGATGTGCTCACTAGCCTTCAGGCAACCATCCTAGGAGAAGGACAACTCCAACTTCAAACCCGGGCAGATGGAGCTCATGTAGCCCTGTAAGGCCATCCATCTAAGAGAAGGATACTCTAATTAAACCTACGACCTGAGGACTTTGCTGTCACCGTCCAAGCTCGCTAGGCCCTGGCAGATAAACCTCAGGTGTAAAGGGTGAGGCCAGTTCTGCGCACGCTGTGCCTCACCTAAAATAAATCCACTGCGCAGGCCCGAAGGGTTTACCCACACTTGCAAAGCCCTGCAGCGACAGGCGAGGGACAAAACGGCACGTGATAAGGTGCACTGGAAGTCGCAGACCCAACCCTGCATGCAGGCGGTTCAGGACATTGGTCGCTCAAGTCTGACCCAGGAGATGACAGTCTTGTTCGGCAGCATCCTGAATGACCAAGCAGCCTTTTTCAAGGACAGCACTGCTTGCTCCATATGGAGAGAGGCCTAGAAAAGGTGGCCTAACCAAAGCTCATCTCCCCCTCCACCTGGTTGGCTAGCCACGGCCAATGGGCATCTTCTATTGCGGTCAATTAAAAACAAAGAGACAAAGGCATACACCTGCCTCCAAAGGTGTGTCCAGATTGACACTCGCATGTTGGAACATCAGAACCATGCTTGATACAGTGAACAGTGGGCGTCCTGAGCGCCGTTCTGCGCTAATTGCTCATGAATTGTCACGTCTTAACATGGATATCGCTGCACTCAGTGAAGTTCGCCTTCATGAGGAAGGTAGCCTCAAAGAACATGGTGCTGGCTATACACTCTACTGGTCAGGCAAACCCAAAACTGAAAGTCATCTTTCTGGAGTCGGCTTCATGATTAAAAACTCCATAGCCTCTAAACTTGAAAATCTGCCGATAGGTCATTCCGACTGTATTATCTCCTTACATCTTCCACTGCACAATAAGCAACACGTTGTTCTTTTCAGCATATATGCTCCAACTCTGCAAGCTGACCCTGCAGAAAAAGAAAAATTCTACTCCGACCTGTGTCACCTCACTCAGAAAGTTCCTATAGAAGACAAGATCATAATCCTTGGTGACTTCAACGCCCGAGTAGGAAAGAACTTTGAAGCCTGGAAAGGAGTACTAGGCAAGCACGGTGTTGGCAACTGCAATGATAACGGTCGCCTCTTACTAGAGTTCTGTGCAGAGCAACAGCTTACCATCACCAACACTATCTTCCAGCAGAAAGACAGCTGGAAGACAACCTGGATGCATCCTCGATCTAAACATTGGCACCTTATTGATTCTGTTTTAGTGCGCCAGAGAAATATTCGTGATGTCTGCCAGACCAGAGTGATGCCTAGTGCAGAATGCCAAACAGACCACCGCCTTGTGCGTTGCAAACTTAATTTCCACTTCAAGCCCAAACCTAAGAGGGGAGGCATTCCAAGGAGGAGGCTCAATGTTGATAATCTTCAAATAGCTGCAGTGAGGGACAGCTTTCAGGCTAACCTTCAAACTAGGCTTGAAGACCAACTTATAGATTCTTCTCCTGAAGCGCTTTGGCAACATATCAAAAACAGCATCCTGCAGTCCTCCGTAGAATCCATCGGGTTCTCCTCAAAGAAAAACAAAGACTGGTTTGACGATAGCAACCAGGAGGTCCAGGAATAGCTGACAAAAAAGAGATCTGCTCATCAAGCACACCTCGCTCAGCCACTCTGCCATGTAAGAAAAGCAGCCTTTCGTCTTGCATGTAGCAAACTCCAACAGACACTTAGAGACATCCAGAACAAGTGGTGGGTCAACCTAGCAGAAAAGACTCAACTATGTGCAGATTTGGGTGACCACAGAAGATTCTATGAGGCTCTGAAGGCAGTGTATGGACCCACATTCCAGGTTCAAAGCCCCTTACTTGGTGCAGATGGCCAAACGCTTCTTACAGATAAAATCTCCATCCTGAATCGTTGGTCTGAACATTTTCAAACCCTCTTTAGTGCTAACCGTGTAGTCCAAGGCGAAGGAATCCAGCACATTCTGCAACATCCAGTGAAAAACGAATTGGATTTAGCCCCTACCATGGGAGAGACTCTTAAGGCCATACAGCAGGTGAAAACTGGCAAGGCAGCTGGGGTTGACGGAGTCCCACCTGAAATATGGAAGCATGGAGGCCAAGCACTTCACGCTAAATTTCATGAGCTAGTTGTGTGCTGTTGGGAACAAGGCAAAATACCGTCAGACTTTCGTGACACAATCATCGTCACTCTGTATAAGAAAAAAGGTGTCAAGTCAGACTGCTCAAACTACCGTGGTATAACTCTGCTCTCCATTGCTGGTAAAATTCTTGCAAGAATACTATTGAACAGACTAGTACCTGCCATCGCAGAAGAACTTCTACCTGAAAGTCAGTGTGGTTTCAGGGCTAATAGAAGTACCACAGACATGGTATTTGTTCTCAGGCAACTGCAAGAAAAGTGTAGAGAACAGAATAAGGGGTTATACGTAACTTTCGTTGACCTCACCAAAGCTTTTGACACTGTGAGCAGGAAAGGCTTGTGGCTGATCTTAGAACGATTAGGTTGTCCCCCCAGGTTCCTGAAAATGATTATTCTGTTACATGAGGATCAGCAAGGCCAAGTCAGGTATGGTGATGCACTCTCTGAGCCTTTCCCAATAACCAATGGTGTGAAACAAGGTTGCGTTCTCGCACCGACCTTATTCACAATCTTCTTCAGCATGATGCTCCAAAGGGCTACAGCAGACCTCGACGAACAAGATGGCATTTATATTTGATATCGTACCAATGGTAGCCTATTCAATCTAAGGCGACTGAAGGCCCACACTAAGACCCTAAACCATCTTGTCCGTGAACTGCTCTTTGCTGATGATGCCGCCCTTGTTGCCCACACAGAAGCAGCTCTGCAGCGTTTAACATCTTGCTTTGCGGAGGCGGCTGAGGTTTTTGGGCTGGAAATCAGCTTGAAGAAGACAGTAGTCCTCTACCAACCTGCACCGCAAGAAGATTATAGCCATCCCCATATTACCATCGGCGAGTCAAAGCTGAAGACAGTTCAGC